AACCGTCGCGATGTCAGGAAGCCCCACGAAGAAAGCAGTGAGCCCATCAAAGAAGGCGACGGCGAGTCCCAAGGCCGCCCTTGCCAACCCGTCCAAGAAACCTGCGAATCCCACGACGAAGCCCGCAAGTCCGTCCAAGAAGGGCGCCGCCAGTCCTAAAGTTGCTATCCCTGCAAGCCCAGCCAAGCGCGCGGCGACGAGCCCCCGCAAAGGCGAGAGCACCCCGAACAAGAAGATGAAGCTGGTCGGGTACGAGAACTTTGTGCGACACAACCCCAAGTCGGACCGATTTACCATGCACAAGTTCCACCACATGGAGTTCTACACGCAAGACGCGACGAACGTGTCCAAGCGGTTCGGGTGGGCCGCAGGCCTCAAAGTGGTCGCCAAGTCGGACCAGAGTACGGGCAATCACGCGTACGCGAGCTACGTCCTGCAGTCGGGTGAGCTCAAGATCGCCATCACGGCACCGTACTCGCGCAAGAACCAGAAGGAAGGCCACGTGCCGCCGCATCCCGGCTTCAACGTCGACTTTGCCCATGAGTTCTGCAACAAGCACGGCCTGGCCGTGCGCGCCATGGCGATCTCCGTTGACGACGCCGCACTCGCGTACGAGCTCTCGACCAAGCACGGCGCCGTCGGCGTGTGCCCCCCCAAGACCGTCAAGTGCGCCAAGTCCCACACGACGCAGGTTCTGTCGAGCGTCAAGTTTTATGGGGACGTCGTCCTGCGCTTCGTGTCGGGCGACTACAAGGGTCGGTTCCAGCCCGGCTACGAAGACGTGGAGGGGCCAGACGTGAGCATCGGCCTCGAACGCCTCGACCACGCCGTCGGGAACGTCCCGAACCTGATCGAGGCCGTGCAGTACGTGTGCGGGTTCACGGGCTGGCACGAGTACGCCGTGAACTCGGCGTACTCGTGCCAGCCCGTGAACCCGCACACGTACTGCACGGCCTCGATCAGGTTCGGGACGTTCCCGACGGCGTGGTCGAGGCGTTCGAGCCCGATGCTCACGTCTGGCCCCTCTACGTCTTCGTAGCCGGGCTGGAACCGACCCTTGTAGTCGCCCGACACGAAGCGCAGGACGACGTCCCCATAAAACTTGACGCTCGACAGAACCTGCGTCGTGTGGGACTTGGCGCACTTGACGGTCTTGGGGGGGCACACGCCGACGGCGCCGTGCTTGGTCGAGAGCTCGTACGCGAGTGCGGCGTCGTCAACGGAGATCGCCATGGCGCGCACGGCCAGGCCGTGCTTGTTGCAGAACTCATGGGCAAAGTCGACGTTGAAGCCGGGATGCGGCGGCACGTGGCCTTCCTTCTGGTTCTTGCGCGAGTACGGTGCCGTGATGGCGATCTTGAGCTCACCCGACTGCAGGACGTAGCTCGCGTACGCGTGATTGCCCGTACTCTGGTCCGACTTGGCGACCACTTTGAGGCCTGCGGCCCACCCGAACCGCTTGGACACGTTCGTCGCGTCTTGCGTGTAGAACTCAATGTGGTGGAACTTGTGCATGGTAAATCGGTCCGACTTGGGGTTGTGTCGCACAAAGTTCTCGTACCCGACCAGCTTCATCTTCTTGTTCGGGGTGCTCTCGCCTTTGCGGGGGCTCGTCGCCGCGCGCTTGGCTGGGCTTGCAGGGATAGCAACTTTAGGACTGGCGGCGCCCTTCTTGGACGGACTTGCGGGCATCGTCGTGGGATTCGCAGGTTTCTTGGACGGGTTGGCAAGGGCGGCCTTGGGACTCGCCGTCGCCTTCTTTGATGGGCTCACTGCTTTCTTCGTGGGGCTTCCTGACATCGCGACGGTT